GATCGAATCTATTCAACCGAAGACACTGTTTGCTAAGGAAATTACGACTGCTTATATATCTATTTCGAGTTCTGCGCCTACTGCGCTGTTCTATACTCTAAAATTAATAAATACATGAGGATTAAATTAAAAGAAACAAATCCGTCCGCATCGGGTGAAATCTGTTTCGTTTCTTGGTCCTACATTCTCTAACGAGAATGCTGCGGCGTGGAAATGTCGGTGTAACTCACGGAGGAATACGTCGTGTTTATCGTAAATCTTGACAAAATTAATGTATGGTTTGAACGTACAAAAAATCCAAGATTAATGAAGCCAAAGTTGCATCATCAGAATCTACGATTAGGGCTAACTTCGGCTTCAATTCTTCCAGCCTTTCCAACCTTTTCTATAAATAGTCATATTGGTTCAATTCGATTATATAGTTTTTTTCTATAGGTTTAAGTATTACTTACCAGTACTAGCCTGCTATCGTTTATAATGCGTAACACGTTGCTGTCTATTGACTTTTTTAATAATATTTTTTGAAAAGTACGAGTCAGTAGATTTTTATCTTCAGTTTTCAAAATTCTTGTCCAATCTCTATATGTCCAGTTAGTCAAGTCAATAATTCTCGATTCAATAGACCTGCACAGTATACGCAAAATATTAACATGTTTATCATTTACAAAAAAGTGTAGTAACAATTGCTTCCAAGTCTTCTCCCGAATTTAGCAAGTCTTTTATCTATAAAAAGCAATACCATAAAAATTAATAAGGGATCACACCTGACAAATTCATGTTAAACCCACCGAATTATTCGCCATTAAATCATTTGCTGCTAAGTCAGTTTCGATAATGGAATTTGAAGTTGGACTTCTAGCCAGTGTCGTCACGTCATAACATTACTCTTGGACTGTAAAGTACAAAAAACAAGCAGAATAAGCTAGATCATTCAGCTTGCCCGAGGCTGTCGAGACACCTGCGATCTATACACATTTTCCCCTGAACGCTCCCGTTGACAACATTTCATTCATTAGCTCTTTCTCTTTTTCGGCCAAGCAACGCTTTCTGGTTGGTGACTCTTCACCACTAACGTCGTTACAAATCGTGTCGTGAGACCTTTTTTTCAATCCCTGCGCGATCCTTTGCATCACTCCGCATGCCGCCCCGAGCTGGAAAAAAAAAAAAGTAACGAAGCAGCATTATGAGTACATTCGAAGCCATCGCATCAAACAAAGACAATTATGCAAAAAACTGACCTCTGCCAGCTCCATATCTCTATTCTTCTCCCTCATTCTCTTCTCATGTAATAATTCGTCCTCAGTTTTATCCCAGAATTGCTTCGAATCTTGGTTTTTTGTGCGATGTTGCTTTCACATATGAATGTTGTGAGAAAATAAATCAGAATTAGGATATATCGTTACGTTAAGATGCGGTAAATTACCGCATGGTTCAAATTGAGTAACTTTTTTACTCGATTTATGCGGAATAGTAATGGCATTAATTACTGAAATTATAGCCAGCACAAAAAAATAGAAAAAAGGTTGGGCGCTTCATAGTTTTTGTGGTTGTTGATTGATGAATTGGTAAGTTTTTCGGTCGATACAGTCCCAGCACACCATCGTTTTATCAGAAAAGTAGTTTCCTAAATAATATTTTATAATCCCCAAAATAGAAGCCTAATCTACAAAGATTGAATAACTATAACAAGCAATATGTATTGTTACCGTGATCGTAAGTTGTTGCTCATTACCATTTCATATCTCCAAAATTATTAGCAAGCTAAATTGGTATGACCATCTATGGGTGCTCTCATCACTATCAGATTTGGCAATCGAAGTTACTAAAATTAGCAATCACTGTAGGGGAGGTAGAGGGAGGTACCATAAATAGTAATCGTACTATTGTCTCTCCTACAATCTTATTCTATGACATGTATAAATAAAGAAATCATTCCACTTTATTTGGCAAGAGCTTATGAGCACCTACCTCCCCCTTCAACTTACCTACCTGCCAATCAGGGGAGTTAGCGCCCTATGACACAAAAGTCTGAATTTCTTGTCCGGATGCAAACTGTCAAAAAAATTTCATGCATACCAAGTGTCAAAAATTACGTCGTCATAACCAGCAAGTCATCATCAAAATCAGGATCATACAAAGTTTTGACGTGGGTTAATCGCCGGCTGAATTGAAGCATGATTGTTTTGATGTAACCAACAAGATCAGTCTCAGATACTAGCTGAAGATGTTTGTTTGAGCACTAAATAAAGGACACAATGAAATCAGAACGAACTAAAACTGTAATAGTAGACAAGGTGCTTTATTAACTTTCATGGTGCTCCCAACATATTGCATACTTTTTTGTCAAAACGGAGAGTTAGCAACATCAATAACAAGTGGGCTGATGATCGGACCTAAAATGGAATAAACCGTTAATAAACGCACCTACATGAATCAATTTTCCGTAACACATACCATGCAATAAGAAAAACTATAACTAACGTGTTTAGTAACTTAAGCTTATTTCTCCAATCGATATGTCCATTGAAACGTATGCTAACTTATTTGAAGCATTTTTTCACAATGACGCCAATCGGAGAACTAGCTGCTCAAAGAATTTATATTGCGTCGTCGCACAATAGAAGAATAATCACTAACGTATTACTCAACGCATATTTTTCACAGCCATGTTTACTCATCCCGCACCTATAGAAGAACCGTATTCAGTAGCCGATAATGAAAGGTGCTCGTTGATTTTTTTTTTATGCATAACTCCAACTCCTATCTATAAACAATCATTTGACCCAGCATACACGGAATAAGAGAAGGTTCGGAAGGAAATACAAGAACGACTCCTTTCTTAATTCCACATATTAATATGATCGGTATATCGATCGTTACTTCCTTGTAGGACAATCGAAGAATCAAATGGCAAATATCGATCTAAACTGCATTTAGCGAATGCAGGAACCCTGCTGGATAATATAAATAATAGTGTAACAGTAATTTGGTTTATTGATACAAAAGTCCATTTCAAGAATTGACCGAAAAATATCATATACTTCTATAAGTGCACGTTCTTGGGACTTGGCGTTTGTGTGCACTTAGGGAGGGTGTGCACTTATAGAACAACGAATAGAAAACCAGAAAACTGATACACATAATAGTGACTAGTACTTTCTCTTTATTAAAATTATACTATCACATCGAAGTCATACTACACTTTAAGAAAAATATGTGTCAATGTTAGTTTGACGCATTGAGCTTGTTTCCCTGACTTCAACAAACTTTTCAATATTTTGTAAAGAGGTGATATATTGTCCTGTTGTAAAAGAAAGGCACGTGCTATTGATTGCTGTGCCAGCGCTAATAACAGGACTTTCCTCACTATCATCTATGTCGTCTACATCCGTAATTGTTTGATCAAGAAGAATCTTTGTGTGGCATCAGCAATTATAATAGTTTCAGATTGAATTGCCTGCAAGACATTCATACGTAAGTCTTCCACGCGCTCCCCAGCCTCAGGCTTTGTTTTTTTTTTTTTTTTTTTTTTTTTATTGCTGTTTTCAAAATGGTGCGATCATCACAAAATAAAAAATTTTTTTTTTTGCGAAAATAGCGATAATACCTGAAAACAAGCAAATAACGCTGTGAAAACGTCTGCAAGCTGTGATTAC